ATCATTCAACAGTCGTCAGTCAATAATTTTACCATAATCTCGGGGAGCCGGGTTACCAAGATCCCAGGGTTGCGAAGAGGGGAAAAATGTTTTTAAATGTAGAGATGAGCAGTTTGCACTCGATGCTTCTGTGTGTATACTTCGGTGGTCAAATGTTTAATACGGATATCCTGAGCCTTTTAGCGCATTTTCACCGATTCAGAGGAACATGGGAACTGACTCTCAATACTTCATCTAAGGTAAAATAGTGGTCAGTTACCAGCATATGAGTGAAAATGGCACCTGAAATGGACTCAGAATCAGCCAGCTTGGATAAGATTCTTTCATATGAACAGATAATTGCCGTGCCTTGCGATCTGATTAAGGAGCATCGCAAACGAANAACATACAATGGTCATAAAACAAATCACCCTCAGCTTCCGAAACCAACGGAGTGAATCTTCACGTACGAAAATTCAACGGCATGAAGTCAATTGCTCGAAAAGCCTGAAAATGGATGACTAGTATTAATGCAATTTTTTAATGATACAAAACAGTTCAGATGCACCAGTAGGGAACCTGAGTTCAGAACGAATAATTTATCTTTTTGAACCTTGATGTAATGCCGTAACAACTTCGCATGGACACATGTAGACAATAACTGTGTAATTCATAACAACTTACCGAAGTCACGCAGGTTGACCAATTCACATTTGGAGCAAACCAATTCCGTCCATGATCGGTGATTAGACAACTTGTCGAACGAGAATCGGGCATAAGTTAAATCTAGTTGAGCCGATGGGATCACAGGACAGATCGCTGATGTGCTATCAAGTTCCGGAAAAAATTGGATTTGTGTATCCCGCAGATCCAGCCAGAAAGTAATTGCAGTCCAGACCACACCGGTGATAGAAGTCTGGAAAAAACGTAATAATTACCAACCAGGCGGAACCAACTAAAATAACATATGGACAGTGGTATTGCGGTTAAATTTATTATTCATTTTGGCCGATCATCCGCAAGCATAATCCCCAATTCACGTAGTGAACAAAACATAGTCTGAATTCATCAAATTTGGGATTCATTTAGACTATACACACCTACCGACTTATCTGACAAACATCTGAGTATCCTTGAAGGTGACATCTGACGGATTCCAGTCAACCCGGATGAAAGCTAAATGACAGCGGTAATGCATACGGCTTCCATGTGCATGGTGGTGCGGGGGGTGGCATGGTCCAAATCTGGGGCACGCAACCCCGACGACATCGCTTTTTTCTATGTTATTTTCTTCCTTCTACTACTCATAGCTGCAAAGTTCCTGGTTGCATGATCATTAAATTGCCAACAAACAGAACTATCATCATTCTGGGGACATTAGGCTTTGGTGAAACAAAGTCCATACATAGGGTACAAAATCGGTTCGATAAATCATGCTCACCTGAATCGTTGGTTTGGGTGGATAGACAACCGGGCTGTGTGCCATGCGGATGGGTTGCTGTACACGTCCAATCCATAAGGGAAGTTCGTGAGTAGGGGGCGATAGAGGGAGGACCGGACCGGAAAGGTTATGCAACAAAATACCACGAATCACAGAATAAATGCGTGCAGTCAGACGGACCTGGACCGCATGCCACTGACTAGTAAGTCGCCAATCTGGCACAATATGCGAATAGGCACTGGATAAATTTCGGCCGAGGATGAATGTGACTGGACGCGGGTCAAACAGATGAGGGAATGATGATGACGACGACGATGTGCAGGAGGCGGAGGAGGAAGATGAGATCGGATTCGTTCCGGGGAATGGACAGATGCGATAACTGGAGAAGGACAAGATGTCAACTCTGGCCGAAGGAGGCTGACCGGTTTGATCTGAAGACAACGGAAAGACGGAAATGGAAATAATAAAAAACATTCGAAACAAGTGCATTTGAATGATTCATTGTAGCATTTCAGAGAGAAACGAAACAGCGAAGAAGCTTGTTTTCGACAGCGTACTAATACGTTAATAAATAAACGGCATTTACATAACGTTTAACGTGTGTGCGGATTTGATTGACAGATATATTAGCTGGTTGTGTGTAGTTTACAAACAAAAAATGAGTGACGGATGGGTTCGTTAAAGCACTTCAACGCCATGGTCATGGTGTGAATTCAGTCGCGTGACTGGAGCTGACCCCTTCAATTGAACCCCTGACCCAAACAGGTGATGGTTAGCCTTGACTCGGTCCTAACCGGCATGTGACACATCTCTATGCTAGTTCACCCCGAAGGGGAAATTAACTAAAACGAGCTTGTTCGCTATTTCGTGTTTTCTCAAATGTATTTACATGGATCAATAGAGCTGTGAAACATTTTCATATGATAGAAATGTTTGTGATAACCGACAAAGAGCATTGCACAAATGTTTCGTCCTGTTTGGGACTCGTCAGCAGTGCGTTCTTTTTGTGTCCCTGTTTGGGCTCGAACCGCGAACATTTGGGTTGGGACTTCAAACTCTTACCCCTGAGCTAAAAGGTCAACGGTTATCACCTTGTGCGAATGATTCAATCGATTTTAGAGTAGCAAGCTTGGATTAGCCCATTTGATTGTCCTAACAGGGACACAAAAAAGTACGCACTGATGACGAGTTCCAAACAGAACGAAACTGCTGTCCAGTGCTCTTTGTGGGTTATCACAAACATTCCCATCACATGTAAATGCATGAAACTATGGGAAATTACCGATATCTCAAGGAGTGAAACCCACACCCAAGAGTGCCTCTTAACAATCGAATGGGTTAATCCAAGCTGCTACTCTGAAAGTGACACATGTTATCAATGCCTACGGAGAACTAAACAAATAACGGCAAATAACATCCGCTGCCAAGAAACAGATTCATGGTTCCAAGGGAGGAACAACTAAAAGGTATTGGTTCATGCGGGTATCAGCAACACAAGATATGAAACACAATGCACAGGGACCAGCGAGAACAAGCTCTAATCTGCCTTTGGTGTCTCCAGTAGGGTAGTTACAGCTTCATGCTGAAGCGCGCCTAGCACGCACTAGCTCTGACTCAACGTGCACGAACTGTTGGAACCGGTAGGCACTGATGAACTAAACAACGTTGCCGGTTGCATCGCCGGCCACTGAATCAAAGTTAGTGTTGCTGATCAACCCCGGGAGCCGCTTCGCACATGCCCGGGAATTTTGTCCAGCCATTCACATACTACTAATTATCAAATATTCTACCAAGACCATCGGGTCACGTTTGTTGCGGTTAGTAGCATCTAACCCATTTAGAAAACAGCAAATCATGGCATTCATTCTTCATTGGATTGGCTCTGAAAGAGCAAACAAGGTTATTGTGTCGAAAATACACTTCCTGGGTACAAGCACATAAATGAACTGACAAGAGATTACCGGATAAGCATGCCTGACGAGCGGCAAGAACCGCGAAATCAGTCGTGTGCTTCCAGGGAAATTTTAATCAGTCATTCACATACTACTTACTATCAAATATAAATATATATATATATATACACACGTCTGAGGACAGAGCACAATATTTATAGAAAAAAAAAAGTTACGTGATCGGTGCATTCAGATCGTTTGTACTACTAGGATCCGTAATTCGTGTCTTCGATACACAACAGACATCAATTTGCAAGACACGCTTGTTGACCCACCTACAGCAGAGTCCTCAGGTTCAAGGCCTCCGAGTGACAGATCGATGAGGCTTCCAAATACGACGACTGCTTAGTGGAAAATTACTTACTGTGCCATTAGGCAGCGACGTTTGGCGAGTGGAAAACAAGTTGCATGAAGGAATGTCATGGGTCGGAAGAACGGGTATAGTGAGGAGGTTGGGTTCGCAAGATAAAAAGTTAAACGACGGTTGGGATATCTAAATAGTAACACACTTAGGACTATCAAACCTGCTAGATGCAATGTGCAGCGCGATGCAGTATGGAATTGTTTTTTTTTGTTTGTGTATGTAGTGGAGTTTAATGGACGAGTGCTGCAAGGGTGTCTAGTCACCAAGCAGGAGAACGATTAGGGTTTTCCATCAAAGCCTTTAATTCAGACAAGAACCTATCCGCAAGATAGCGAGTGAAGTGAAATGGAGGCCCATTCACCTAAATCGAGCACTTCTCCAATAGTTTTATCAACTTAGACGCCGATTCTTGTGGAACCTCAATCTGAAGGGCCAGGAGAATCTATCCTTCGAGGCATAATTATATCTTCGGCTTAACAAAAGCCATTCTCTGTGGACCATCGGGTCAAAGAGGTGCACAAGCAATCACGCCACGTCAAGATGCATGCAGTTGTGTCGCGAAGGACACTTAATTTCTGGTACAACGGAAGAATTGTCAATGACTGCAAACGGAGAAAGGGATTTCCGTTGGGAAAAGCACTTGTTGGTCACTAGCAGCAGAAAAAAGTCGGCACGCGCCACGAACAGAAGAAAGCCTGATTTTGTTGACCAAATCATTTTGTTAAAACACACTTGTGTGATAAACATGGAGATGGAGTGGACCACATGGTCAAAAAGATCCACTGCCCAGTGATGAAAACCGGTAACCCAGTCATGGAACTTCAAATGGCGAACTACATAAATCACCGCTAGATGAGGTGTGGTAATGAAACGAAGCAGCCGACCACCACAGTTGGGTGAGGTAGCGAGGATCGAACCTCGCACCAGAGTCTGACAGTGTAATGCCCAAACTACATGCTGAAGTACGTGCTCCATTAGAAATGAAGACATGTAAGTGGTATATTGCACACCCCACGCTGAACAAGCCCGCCCTCTGCCACACATACAAACCAGGTCATGGATCGACGGTTTTATCATTCAGAAAGCGTTACATGCTCTGACCGATGAGGAAAAATTCGAAACAACGGAAAGGAAACGTTTTCTGTTCTCAATCAGGGTTTTTCATGCAGCATTCGAGATATGAAGGCATAATAAAAAATTAGAACGGTTTCGACGCATTACGGAATTTCTATCCTTGTAAGCAGGTTTAAATAGCTAAATACCCGTCGTTCGGTGTGAATTTCTCCAAATGCCACGTCATCAGTATAAACGAAAATACAGATAAAGTCGAATAAAATCCAGAAAACAATTGTATAACACTGTCTGAAGGATCCATTAAATCGAACAGAGGAACAACGAAGGCCCACCTGGAGAATCAAAAGTTGGTTCCGCAGCAGAGCGTAAATATGCCGCATGGTGTATAGTCGCATTCTCCAGATTCAGTGTGATTCGATCCCAAAGACACTCAGTTGGAGTTCCTAAATGCATTTTAATCAGAAAGGGAACCAAACAAAACAAAACAAAACAGAGAGAGGGAGAGAACAAACGAATAAAAATGTAGCACAAATTTAAAGAATATCGACAAAAAATGACTTTGATTTTCCTCCTATAGACAAAAAAGAAGCACGCCTCCATGTAAATAAATGGTATGTATGGAATGGTAAGGGTACCGAACCGCGGATCAATTAAATTTAACGATGGAAAATACAAACCATCTGGGATGATGGAAGGGTAAAAAAGACGTCCGGTGCGATCGACCCTTTAAGTATGTCTCCAGTATACCGTCCAAGTAAAAAGTGATGGTTACCTTCACCAGTCTCCATTGTTTGATGTGTTGACTAGTGAAATTTTATGAGAGGATAAACCAACAAAATGTTGAAACCGCGCAGGATTTTCTCTATACTGGATTCTCGAAGGATCGTCTTTCGGTAAAATTTCTGGTCCAGATGAAAACTACACACGTAGTGAAATCAAACACAGTTGAAATGAAGTAGGAATTCATTTATTATACTGACACCGTCACTCCTTATCCACATTATTGCTGTTTTACCGCTTTTATCACCTAAAAGTCATATCTTGTGCAAAGCTGTCGCATAATCAAGTTGATTTCGAGGCTTCATTGATTTCAAATAAAAAGGGAGTAGAAAACGGAATCGAATGTGTGCATGTTCACTTGCGACTCGAAATCACTGATGCTCTTTTTTGCTCACCTCTAAATCCGCGAATGTGCAGTTAATACATGGTTCAGTGAACCAGCTTGTTTTCACCATGAATTCGGAAATCAAACTGAAAACAAGAGTTTCTTAACACAACCTGCAACTGCCGAACCGTTTTTCTTGGTTCCAAACAAGTCCTGTTTATTATTGATCTCTGCTTTGAGCACATCAACATATCGTGAGAACCGGTTACGGATACCTTCCAGAGGTTAGGCAAGTTATTGGTTAGGTAGTCGATATGTTCTTGTTACCATAACCATACAGAGAAATAGGAAATTCATTTAATTGAAGCGCGTACACGGACCATCGCGGAAGCAAAGGCGTCAACGCGAACACTATTCGTGAAACCTAAATGCATGAACAAGTGCAGACATTACATGAAACCAGAATGCGGTCAAACCGAGGAGTAAGTGATCGGCGCGTGGGCAGTTGAACACCGAAAACTGATTGACNTGATTGACTAAAGCCAATCAAGCCTATGACAGAGCAAGTTTGCGTGACGCACGTGTGTGATAAACATGCAGTATCGGACACTCAATCAACATTGCTATACGCCTCCGTGGTTGTCACACGAAGGAATACCAAGCCCATCTCAAAAAGCACCGCGTTTTTGCTTGAATTAGCGAGTCTCTCACACCAACTCAACTGGTCACCGTGAGAGAAAAGGGCTTTGCGGAATACTGAGAAAAACTCACTTTGATTCAGTAGGACCGTGGTCTGTGCAATGGAGGAGCTGGAAAAGGTGAAGAATAATTAGGCTCACGCGTGGCAACATACAAAATTGAACAACGACGAAGTTTGCACATATTGGAATCATAGTCTGTGAAACAAAATTTGCAACTAGAATCTGAACAGGGTAGAGATTTTTCACAACGAAACTGATGTCACGAGAACAGCAAGAAAGAATAATATATCAGATGTTGGAAACTTATCTGCTTGACCACTCAAAGTTCCAGGGTCATGTTAACGTGTATCTCACTCATCTCACTATGAATACTGCAGCAAACAGGACCACTACACATATGCGCTCTCGCTCTCTAACATTAGCGGTTTTAAAATAAATATAGATTCCGCATATCTCACTCATCAGCCAATTCCCGTCGCTCAATTTCTATCCGAAACCAAACATTCCCATACAAAAGACATCACCAAACTTCAGTTTCGCAATTATTTTATACATACCTCATTCACCCTCGCATTTTTTGCACCAATCAGTGGGATATACCCNTATACCCCGGTCTCCCACTTCAATCTCAACAACCACGAATTCAAGACTATGTGGTTGAGACTTCGGTTCCCTTCTATCGACCACCACTTCTGAACTACATATCGTTCCCCAAAATGTAGAGGTAGATAAATTTTGATATTTCCTCATCCCCCGTTAACCTCCTCTGGTTCCGAATGCCTCAGTACGGTCAAGGATGAGTGTCTTGGTTTAAGACTGGTCACCCTGCCCTTGCACCTCGCCAAATGCTCCCATACCACCAAACGTCTCAAATAGCCTCTGCTGAGGAAGCCACACTCACTGCCTTCTCGTGGCGGAGGTGTTCTACAAACAAGCTGATAGGATGAAAAGCCAACATCCGGAGCTATAACCGGGTTGGTGAACCACTAACAGTTCATCTAGGGGATTAAGCTCAAACCCACTGTGACAGGGGCCAATTCGTCCTGCCGATCGATATTAGTGTCACCGCAAGTGCCGGTGAACTTGGTAGATGACATGTGAAGCGGAATTGTGCGCCTGGTTCCGTCTTCGATTGTGTAAACGAAGTCCTTGGGTATACGGTATCAATCGAAGCTCTGCGACACGAAACGTTTGTCATAAGCCGCCCTGAACTTTGGACGGACGTCATTAATTATATGATCACCTTCGGTACCTCGCAGATGGGATCAATCAATCACCTTCATCTGCCATGCACATAAATACATTTTTTGCAGAAAAGCCTTTTCTTCTCGAAATGTTAGGATAACTTAAATGTTCCCTTCACCCTACGATTTAGTGTCTTTGGACTGTGGGGTTTACTCATTTTACTGTATTCACTCCTGTATAATAAAGGAGATACGTACCAAGACATCTCTACAATTTTGTTCAATAAATGAAGCTATTTTACCTAGGCATTTGTACGGAACATAAACTTCAGAAATGGCGTAAATGGGAAATACGTACCGCGCGGTCATGGTCTGTGGCTCAGTCCACTGTTGCTGTTGTGGATGACGCTGAATGTAATGAGAATGTTTCACACATGAAGCGCAACTGGTACAAGTCTCCTCTGACGTGTGCGCTATTGTCAGCTCACGTGTCAAACCCGGATAGGGTGGATCGTGGTCAACCCAAAGAAATGAATTAGCTACAGTTAGTTGAGACATTGTGGTAACGAGACACTCCGGGCTAGCCTCACTGACTGGCAGAATGAGAGTCGGTGAGTCAGCGTAAACGTCCAACAATACGCGCAACGAGGTGGGTGCTGTGGTAGGTAACTGAATTCGAAAAAAAGAAAGGGCAAAACAAACACCGAATGGATCACACAAAATATCATCGTGATAGAGTTTTGGCGCGTTACACGGTTCACAAGGAAAATGTCTTTTTCAAACCAAGCGAACGTCCCTCCCGATGCAATGAAAGCACAGCACACGTGTTCTATTCGTGTTAGGAATCATCAGAATTTGAATTCGAATACGGACATAAAGCGATTTGCAATCAATGAGTATTATTGTTTACATGGGCTAATTTATTTTCTCTCCTCAATGTAATAATCTCGTTACTTATAAAAGTTATCCCAGGGTAAAGGCATTAGAAAGCAGTTCTTCGCGGTCTGATCATGCATGGATAAACTATGTTGCCTTCTCTTTCATATTGCTTGACTGATTGATTCTCACCGCAAAAACAAGCAAAAATGTCCTCAAAATCGTCGGAGATCCTGGTTATATTTTGACATAACAGTTTTGACGACAGATTGAAACTCGCTGTCATCTTCACACGACCGCGTATAGAATTCTGTTTGTATTGAAAAATCTGTTTTATGCGCTCTCTCTTGCAAAAGCTAGGCCAATAAAACGCAGTACAATGTGATGACAAAGAGATGATCCCCGTCCATTAGCGTTTATGTTGAGAACACTTCTGCGTGAACCGCCTCCGAATGACACAAATCGATGCACTAATTTTGCTCATGACAATTTGCTGACATGGATAAAACAGCTTTCAGAATTTGCTGGGCTGTTAGAATAAACGGCCGCAACTAACAAAGCAGGTTCGGAATGTGATTTTCAAAACACGAGTAGGACAGTAAACAATGTGGCGGAATGAATTTCGATGCAGAAGTGATCATACCAAATGAGATATCTCCTTATGGTACATATTAGAGTGAGATTCAGAGAACCTGGTCTGAGGGTCCGACAAATATTAATCAATAAAAATGTTAAATGCTTCATTTAGAACCTTGCTAAACAAATCACGGTACAGGAATCTCTACAACAAGGAAATTAAGGCATAATTTATTCCTGAACATGATAAAGCGGATTAAATGTCCAACGTTCTTATGCATTGTATTTTAGATCATGCAACTTCTTTTATTACATACATTTGTGAAATGAACATTAGATGGAGTGGACCCCTTAGACACGAAAATCCATCGTTTAGGGAAAGAAGCCGATAATCTAAGTCACGGGTCTTGAAGTGGCGAGCTACATAGGTCTCATTCGGTCAAGTGTAGTATTAAACCAGACAACAGCAAAGCTGCCTACCACCAAAGTTGGATTCGAACCTCGGACCACAGGGTCTAAAGCACGCGAGCGACAGCGACTAAACCACTGCACCACAACCACTAAAAAACCAGTGCTATTTATCACCGTTATGTTTCGACCGAAGTACCACTCACAACTTTGTCTGGTAGATTGTGAACGGATGCAATCAAAATTGCAGGATGTAACAATTCATTACGGTTTAAGCATTGTGGGTATGCGAATGCCACGTACCTGCAATCCCTCACTGGATGCACGAATTCGGGCCATCATGTCACGATTTTGGAGTAATCCATTGAGCGTATCCAGCATGGAACTTAGGAAGTGTTGTGTATGCACATATTGTATGGGACTGAGGCGAATCCACAGATAGGCTTCTTCGCCTTGTCTTGGGCGCATCGAATGCATCAAGTGAGAGAGAATTAGGAGGAATCGAAAAGGGCGGTATGATTTGTTACCCACAATGCTTTTGTTCAAACAGAGGCGTTCATCATACAACCGTTTTTCTTTTGTGGACAACGCGGATAACTAGAGGACAAATGAAAAGTGACCAAAAAAGGGAAAGATGTGAAAAGTGGTTAAGAAGTGGATGCGCAGAACTTACCAAAGTATCGAAATGATACTTTTTAAATCAGAGGAATCTAAAGTAAAAAATAAACCCTCACAAGCTAATGCGACTATCAAGCTTATCGCTTCGAAGGAAATGCATTCAAATCCCACCAACAGCACTTCTCTTTCCCTTTTGTCCATGTATGGCAGCCTTTTGATCAGCCGCTTGACCCTCTGTTGAAAATTGGTTGTATCATGAAATCTATTCAATAAAAGGGAAAAAGCAACTTCGCACANGACTGTTTCTCTGACTATTCACGGTATTGATGGAACCGCTGTGTTCTAGATCTCAGAATACAATAACTCGATGCGGTATGAAAAGACGTAGTGAGCTACACAGCACCGTTTTCATCTCCTGAGCTGCTGGTGTGGAAGCTGGAAACGCTCAGGATTCCTAGAGCAGAATAAATAAAACAGCCGAAATATCGGTGCGCAGAAAATTGAGACAAAGTGCATTTGAGCAGCGCTGGTAAAGTCGAAAATTCTGGTACGAGTAAGACGGCTGATGGGAACATGAAAGAAAACTGTAATAAATTGTGTTGCTTGTTTCATGTTGTCAGCTTCATTAATTCAAACAGTCGAATATTAACACTTTACTATGACGCTGAACAAGCGCGTCTAATTGGTTTTCCTTCAGCTTCTAAAGATAGAAAACAAGCAAGGAAGAAACCGATACTGAACACACACTATATTCCAGCCGTTTTCGGAGCACCCAGTCGATTCGTACAGCCACCGGACATCGCGTAAGGTCCTGAGTGTGTACCCAGTCCGTGGAAGTTCGGTTATATCCCAAGAAGTGAAAACAACATCCAAATGAAAAGATTTCACACTATGATTGGTTTCCGCAGAAATCAATTGGTCAAACGCAAAACGATACACGCGTAAGAGTATAATGCTACGCTCAAGGTGATAACCGTCAATCAAGCTCAGCTATATATGGTCTTGTCCCTAATCTGGCCAGTCCCATCGAAGACGAAACATCTATTGTAAATGGAACACACCTTTTTTGTATAGACGGTGTTGCAAAGGAACAAACATAGAAACAAACAAATGGTTAATTAGATCGATAAACATACCGACAGATCTGCTACGGAACCCTCAATCAGACGATACGGCCCGGGCAAATTTTCTGGAGTTTTCTGTCGCTGTGCTGGTAACCACTGTGTATACTGCGCAAGTTGATCGAGTATTCGAATAGTGAGATCACTACAAACTAGAGAAGCGAAATCTTGATTAACCGTAGTTTGTGGATGAGGACAACTGGGCCCGACGAGCGACACATTCGAGTCTGATTCGGTCCATACAAGATGAAATGAATTAATCTGAGCCTGGATGCTTGCACATTGCATGGGGTTAGAACGGGCGGAAATCGATCCATCTGTCATAGGGGAAAGATCAAACTAATGAATTAGTTCTTCCAAAAAAAGAATGCAACTCGCAGTTACAAATTCCTCAACAAAAGGAAACCCAATATTTGCCCGTAGGGAGCTACGGAGGAATTATTCTATTTCAAAGACAAGGAGAACCGAATGACGATAACCTACTGAATAACATCCTTCTCCACACGGCAGGCAGCGGAAAATGCAGCAAACAATAAAAATGCTCAGCATGAATCGACAAAATTCTCATACACAAACAGCTCGCGGTTACCCGAGTTGAAATCACATTTAGCCTATTTGCTAATCTAAGTCTCAGAGTTTCGATTGGCACTTTCCATAATTGATTATGAAGTTTTCGCGTCAGTTTAACTTCCTACCAGCACTCAAGAAAGTAAGATAAACAAAAGCATGTCCAAGACTGAACTGCCTCTTAGATGGCTGTATTGGAAAAAAGGTTATACAATTAAGTGTCATGCGGACTAAAGAGTTAAAGAGCTTTTAAAAATACAAAAAGATTCTTGGAAGATTAATGCGATATACAGTAAATAGAATCCTTGGTTAACTTGTTTAGAACCAAAGTACCACTCTCCGAGAATATCCGACTTGAAGCTGTGCATAAATCACATTGAACGAAGCGAACAATAAATCATGAAACAAAACAGGCTTCAGATTTACCAGTTTGCATTATTGTTGATGTATTCGACGATTGGTTATCACCCTTACAAACTGCAGCTGGCCGGCCAGATAAGTTGCAAAAGTCCAACAGAAGAACCCACGGTTGTGGAGCCAGACGACAGAGTAAATGGACCAGTTGGATTTGAATAGAAGCGAAAAGCTGGGGGTGAGAGACAGGGAGCAAAGGTTTGACCGTTGCAGCGTGTGCAGGCTACACAAGCGGACAGCATTGAGTAGACAGAGATAGAATTTGTTACGATGAGGATACAAAGCGTTAGTTAAACCCAACACAACTTTCGATAATATGGTACTCATGAATAATAAAGTCAATCCGATAGCTTACGTTATGGATGACACTCAGGCGCTTCAGTCCAAAGAAAATGTCAGCGCTCCATCCTGGTTCTACTATTGTTGGTCCTTTCCAAAAGCGCCCATTCTTGAATTATTGTAATAGTTTCTCAGATACTTTTAAGAGAATTATTTTCATAATAAAAGTCTGTTTGCATAGGTGTATTTTTGCGTCTTTTATTTTAATTTTTGGCCGTAACACGAATTCTATCTTCCAGGAAATTTAAGGAAATGCTTGTTTAAAACATATACAAGACCGCAGATTGCTGCCGAGGGAAGGTACACGCACATGTGGTTGTATTATGCATATGCAGGAATTTTCTCGGAGTCATGATGATTTCTTCTTTCGTTGAACAATGTGCAGAAAGCGATTATCTATTTGTTTGAGAACACTTCTACAGAAGTTCAAGCTCCCTTTACTGACATCCGCGGAATTACTAATCTATTTTTTCATACAGGGGCCTGTTACCCCTGCTGCTGCCATGACTAACGTTTCAATGAAATAGTACATGCACTGCTGAGATATTTATTCCATCAAAAAGAGTATTGCGGTGTACGATTTTTGTCGAGACAAGTAGTGGATGGATAAAAATCAAGGGTGGTCAAACCAAAAATTAGTATGAGGAAGTCAAAAAGGCAAATAACGAGACTCCGCCATGCAGATCGCATGAGGCTCCCCGGATCAGCCTAACTGCATCACCTCAATTTCTTTGCAACCTTATTCCATCAGAATTCCTCATTTTCTTTATGACACTAGTCTCAAAGTTCCAATCTCCCAAATACATTTATCCTACAGGTGGACAGAAGACAACAGCGAAGACCACCACACGGAGATGCACGATTAATGGTCGCAGAAACTAAATATAAGCATTACTAATTGAAAGGAAGTTGTAATTCGACGAATGTACTCCACAAAACAGAAGTAAAATCGGGCACCTCGTTATCAGCCGGAACATCTAGAGACCAAGGGAACAAGGCTTGTATGCGAATAGTATCAGGACGGCCGTGTTCAACATGATCGCGAAGTTGATCATGCGCTCGTTTGCACTCAGGACAAGACGGTTTCTGAAATGAAGACGGAGAATAAAATGCTAACCAGAAGTGAGCAACGTAACACCGCGAAGATTCTGAGATAATTACATAAGAGAAGCAATATGTAGTTAGTTACAATTACCTAGTAGGTCAGGTAGTAGATACACTGATACATTATCATTTGATAATGCTTTTTTTCTTTTGACAACCATTGATCTTGGCGTGCGTCAAGTAATCACGTGAAAACAAACATGTGTGTATGTCAGCGCACCGACGGACCGTCGCTCGGTTCAGTGTAAAAACAGACACGCGCCTGGATACGGCCACATAAACAAACGAATGAACTTTCAATTCGGTTCATCTTTCTGACCAGACTTCCTGAAACATACCCTAGTGCACTTGTGTGCTCACTCTATGGTCTACGTGTTCGCTTGCATACGTACAACAGAATCAATTAAATACTGCGTTACTTCCGAAAGCTTCAGTACGATCAACGGTTAGTGTCTCGGGTTAAGGCTGGTCACCCTGCCCTTGCACCTCGCCAAATGCTCCCATACCACCAAACGTCTCAAATAGCCTCTGCTGAGGAAGCCACACTCACTGCCTTCTCGTGGCGGAGGTGTTCTACAAACAAGCTGATAGGATGAAAAGCCAACATCCGGAGCTATAACCGGGTTGGTGAACCACTAACAGTTCATCCAGGGGAGTTGGCTAAAACCCTTGTGTTACAGCGACAACAAGCTAACCAGAAAACGTTTAGTTCGGAGCACGTGGCTTTACCGAATGCGTCACGTGACAATCTATAATAGAACAATGATTAACAGGTCAACCAATATGAATGAGTTGAATCTGTGTGCATGTGCGAGAGCCCGCGTGTGTGCATATGTATATGTATGTATATATGGGTGAGGTAAATACTGGTCTTCATCTGAGAGAGAGTGAGACGGAGAATTGTTCGACGCGTTGGCACATGTCACACCATGATTCCGAACCTACCTTGAGGCGTACAAACCACACATACATCCACACCATCCTGGCTGTGGTGATCACCGGCTCGATTGACACCGAAGCTGATTCTCAGATGTACATTCAACATACCGCTTTTGTACAATGACCAGCTGTACAGACAAATCGAGGGGGTAGCCATAGGGTCTCATATTGGGAGATATTTTCCTAGCCAAACTGGGGAACGAAAATTTGAGAGAGACAATTCGAAATTTCGACACATAGTGCAGATACCTCGACGATACTCTTATTGTTTGTGATTCTCACATCAACCACAAACAGCTTCTCGACGAATTCAACAAGTGCCATCTGGCTATTCGTTTCACCTGTGAATTACCCTTATTGGGTGTTATTAACAAAGCGAGACGATGATACCATCCAAAGCGCTTTCCGCAAAACCACGTGGGTTGGACAAACGTAACCTGGTCATGTGTTTATCATACCGAGTGCGTGCGATTTGTAGTGTTGATACACTGCAGGCAGAGATACGTATTATTCATTTTCATTATTCAAATAGTTACCCGGAAGCCTTTATTGAGAAAAATATGTTTGAAGACCAACACGAGCGAAAGCCCGACCGTTCCTCGCAAGAACGTTTTACTTACCGCGATGTTTAAGGGCGACGACATCCTGGAACTTTAGATAATCAATGTGAATAGGAAGATGAGTACTCGTTGAAGAGATATAATCACACAAAAACTCTTCTATTTCATGGAGAAGAACGTTTGTAAAGCTCTGATAATTTTAATTTATCTTCTAGCATCGATATTGATTCACATTTGCAAACGTTCCTCGCAATGAAACGATGGACTTTTGATGTGATTATTTATCTTCATAGGAAATTCACCTTTCTATTCCCATTGATTATTTAAAGGATCTTATGATTGTTTAAATTGAGAACAGACGTTTTGGATTTGAAGGAACAGCACACAAGCAAATTGACAGTATAGCAATGAGCAGCCCCAGGACTCAACATTAGTTTCTGTATTTCTAGGAATGGTTGAAAGACGATTGAAGGATAATATTTCAGTGGCTGCTTTGCGCAAACCTTTCCTGTTGCAGAGCTTTGATTGATACGGTATACCCAAAGGACTTCGTTTACACAATCGAAAACTGAACCAGGCGCACAATTCTGCTTCACATGTCATCTACCAAGTTCACCGGCACTTGCGGTGACACTAATATCGATCGGTAGAACGGATCGGCCCCTGACACAATGGATATCTGAACACATTCCCAAGTGTTTGGTACAATCAATGGCATAACACCGTCTCAGAGGTCAAACTGAAGGTGACCAATCGCA